CATACTAGAGACCAATATAATAAAATTCTGAAGCCCTGAGGTTGCACAATAAATCTCAGTGATGTTACTGATGCAGGATCCCAGTTTGGAGGTCCACCTGAAGGCTAAGTGGGTTCTTGGGTTTGTGTAGTAAAGAATTCAAGAGCAGGCCAACAGAGGAAAGCAAAACAAGTTTATTAAAGTATGAAAAGCAAGAAAAGGAGGTTGCCTATAGATAGGTCAGTGGCTATCTCTCAAAGCAAAAGAAAGTAGCACCCTTTGGGTTTCCGGGATCTTATGTTATAACTTCTATTTAACTTTATGCTAAGTGGAGGGTGTATTATTCATAAGATTTTTGAGAAAGGTGGGAATTCCAAGAATTGAAGATTCTTCCCTTTTAAACTATATAGGGTAATTTCTAGGAGGTGACATAGCATTTGAAAACTGTCTTAGGTTGTTAGGAGTTTCTTTTAGTATGAAGATATGCAGGGTATAATGAGCAATGAGGGTAACCTGAATTCATTTTTCCTGGCTATCTGGGTGCTAGCTGGTTTTAACCAGTTTTTCCCTCACTTGTTCTTTTATCAGAAACCTTGGTTATGATCTTATGACTCATGATCATTATCAAGCCAAGCTGGCCGGTTCCCTGTCTCAAAATGAAAAATATCCTTACAGACCTTCAATTACAGAGAGTGTAAAGTCAGGATCAGCAGCTGAATGCTGAAACCCATCACAATGCACTCATCATGTTAAAAAGGAACTCCTCTAATGGTCTCCTGAACTTCTATGACAATCTTTCAGTCTTTCTCAGACACCAAACTCCCTTCTCTCTCTCCTTCACTGTGCAGGAATTTTTGGTCTGAAGGTTCCTATTTCCCTGCCATTTTCTCTCTCAGGTATTTCCTCTCATATAATCTTTCCACTTATAATTCCCAATTCCCATCTACTTTTCAAGGACTAATAATGCCATTTCTAATCCTCTCCTCTCTTAAATTTGGGCAGGTTTCAAGACTGAGTCAGAGCATAGCAAGTAGAAAGGGTCAATTGTCCCCACAACAGAACATATTTAGGCCTAGGAAGCAGGTGGGGCCCAGTTCCTTGTAGAAAGTGGAGCACAGCCTGGCCATCCTGTCTCCTTCAAATCCTTTTCATTGAGAGGCACTTGATGCACTTCTCAGGAAGTTTAATATACCCTTTGTATAATTTGTTTTCTCCTTTCTCTTTCATTTTTTTCTTGACAGATTTATCCGTGGAAAAGTTAAACTCGATCATCATGGCATTTGCTGAATTTTATGAAACTGGGCATCCATATGGCTCTATGTGATCCTATTTTCCAGCGAATTCTACGATTAGCATTAGTAGCCTTCGTAATCAGGACCTTAAATTCATAGATGTCCAGGTGAATCTGCCTATGAAATGCAGGATGGAACACAGCTTGCTCAAGATTCTTTCTGAGTCTAAGATATTGTTATTTCAGAATTTTGATTCTCTACGTTCACTTACTCAATAACAATTTGGAATACTGATTTTTTAAGTATATGTTTGCTAATGAATTAAAAATCTTACATATTTCACTGAAAAATGTTAAATGATTTTGTCATTATGAAAATAGTCTTTTCTTTTAATAACTGAGGAAGTATTTTCCACTAAAGGTAAAGATATATTCATCTAGTCACAGGACATTTTTCTTTTCATTTTTTTAAATTTATTTTTCTTACTTATACTTGTGTATGTTAGGTTTCCACTTTTACCTTCACAGAATTAAAAAGGCTAAATTTAATGACAATAACAATGTTTAAAATAAGGACTGAGAAAAACATCATAAAGAACGAAATGGAGATAAATACATACAGAAAAGAAATCAGACGATTGCTGCAATGAAATATTAAGCAACAATAATAGTAATAATGCAAAGGAAGTAACATTCACATTGTCAGATAGGAGTATGTCTATTATAGAATACTTTGATCAGTTAATTTCGTCTTCTTCTTTTGTTTTTTCCAAAGTCTAAAAAAAACAGACAACTAATATTTATAAATGAAAGTAAAAGATAATTTCAAAAAAACAACTCTTAACATTATAAGTGGCTACAACCACTTAATGTTATTCAGTAAAACCTAGAAGCTTTCTATAAGCATATAGATGATATGCTTGTTAAACTTTATTTAATTTTAATAACTGAGATTTTATTGTAGTATAATTTATATTTAATAAAGTGAATCCTTTATAGGTATAAGTTTGACACACACCATTACATAAGCTATTAAACAATCAAGTTATAGAATATTTTCCACTGGCTGGGCACTGTGGCTCATATCTGTAATCCCAGCAATCTAGGAGATGGAAACAGGAAGATTCCTTAAGCTCAAGATTTTGAGACCAGACTGTCTTTACCAAAAATAGAAAAAAATAGGCAGGCGTGGGGATAGGAGCCTATAGTCCCAGTTACTGGGGAGGCTGAGGCAAGAGGATTGCCTAAGCCCAAAAGATTGAGGTTGCTGTAGGCTATGATGATGCCACAGCACTCTACCAAAGGTGGCAGAGTGAGCCTCTCTCTCTCTGTCTCTCTCTCTCTCTCTCTATATATATATATGTGTGTATGTGTGTGTGTGTGTGTGTATAGTTTCCAGCACTTTTACATATGACCTTATGCTGTTTTGTTGTCATTTCTTTCTGCCAATCCAAACCCCTGGAAACCACTGACCCAATTTCTGTATTTATTAAATTTTTAGTGTTGAGTTAATTTATACTCCCAAGAAATCATATAAATAATACACTCAGTTTCTATAAAGTCTTTAAACCACTTTAAGGAGCTACATCCAACAATAACCCTTTACCTAACCATAGTACAGTACAAAATTCAGCAAACTGACATGGCACACTGCCATTGATTAAACTAGAGATTATATTAAGAGTTCACCTTTTAAAGAATTAATTCTGATTTCCCCCTCTTTTTGGCATATAGTCTGAAATCTCACCACATATATGATTTTGTGCATACACCATACAGTAGGATATGAAGGTGTCCATCACCATCAATAAATTCCCTCTGGTTATCCTCTTTATACTCACATTCTCTTTCCAATTATATGTCCTGATGGTGACTGAGCTTTTCCTCATCATTAGAATTTTGTCATTTTGGTAATATTGTAGAAATGGGAATCATTAAATAAGTAATACAGGGATTAATTTTTTGAAATTCAGCATAATGATTTTGAATGACATCTGAGGCATGACAGGTGTCAATGACTAATTTCTCTTTATTATTAGGTACTATTACATTGTATGCCTATACAGGTATACTACTCTTTGTTTATCCAATTTTCTTAAGTATCCAATTTGATGAAGTCTAATTTATAGTTTTATTTTGTTTAATAAGTCATGTTTTGTGGCATGTCTAAAAACTCTTTGTGTAACCCTACTTCATGAAAAATGTATCCTGTGTTCTATTATAAAAATTTTATAGTTTTACTTTACCTATTTCCATCTATGATACTCCTGAGTTCTTAAAAAGTATTTTATTTCCAATCCTTCTTTCCAGGGCTGAATAAAATTTTATTGTGTGTATATGCCACATTTACTTTATCTATTTATCAGTGGGCATTTGGATTGATTCCACATCTTGGCTACTGTAAACAATGCTGCAATGAATATGAGAGTTAAATATGTATTCACCAAAACTTGACCTTGATTACAGTTCTTTTACATAAATTCTGAGAAGTGGGATTGCTGGCTCATATGGTAGTTCTATTTTTAATATTTTGAAGAAACAACACACTCTTTTTTCTTTAGTAACAATACTATTTTCCATTCCCAATAATACACAAGAATTTCAATTTCTTCACAACCTCACCAATACTTGTTATTTTTGTAATTTTGATAACGACTATTCTAACATATATTAGGTAGTATCTCATTGTGAATTTCATTTAAATTTCCCTGGTGATAAGTGATGCTGAGCATCTTTTTCAAATACATGTTAACTATTTCCATGTCCTCTTAGGAGACTTGTCTAGTCAAGGTTCTTGCCCATTTTTCAATCAAATTATATTTTAACTTATTTGCTATTGAGTTATAGGAGCTCTTTATCAGATTTGTGATATAAACCTCTTCAGATTTGTGATTTGCAAATTTTTTCCCAATTTGTAAGTTGCTCTTTCACTTTGATCGTTTCCTTTGCTATGTAGAAGCCTCTTAGTTTGCTGTAGCCTGTTTTTCCCAACATTTTCTTCTATGAGTCTTAGAATTTAAAATTTCACATTTAAATTCTTAATCCATTTGGAGTTAACTTTCGCATATGTTGTAAGGTAAGGGTCCAGTTTTGTTCTTTTGCCAGTGTATATCCAGTATTCCGAGCACCACCTGTTGAAGAGATTTTTTTATTCACTCTGTGTATTCTTCATACCCTTGTTGAAGATTGATTGACATTATGTGCATAAGTTTATTTCTGAGTCCTCTATTATGTTCATTGGTCAATATATCTGTCTTTATGATAGTCTTATACAATTTTAATCACAGTAGTTTTGTATTATGTATTTTAAATCAGAAAATGTAATGCCTCCAAGCTTTGTTCTTATTTAATATTGTTTTAGGTTTCCAGGACTTTTTGGTTTCACAAAGAGAACAGGACATCTCTCTTTATGGGTCGAAAGACTCAACATTATGAAGATGTTCGACCCAAAGCAATCTACAGATTCAATTAAATTCTTGTCAAAATCCTAGTAATATTTCTGAGCAAAATAGATTTTAAAACTCTAAATTTATATGGAGTTCCAAAAAGAAAAAAATAAACTGAATAACTACAACACTCTTAAGCAAATGAAAATAAACAAAGTAGGAGGCTGCAGATTTCTGATTTCAGAATCTGTGTTCTTTAGTAATTCACTGAGCTTCATTTTTCATTTTTTATTTATTATTCAGTTTTTATAGCTTTTTTCAGTAATTTATTTTTCATTTTTTATCAGTCAATTCACAGATTTCTTTTTCTTTAGAGTATGTTCTTAGAGATTTATTTTGTTCCTAAAAATATGGAATGCTTCACAAACTGACCTGTCATCCTCCAGTAGAAAGCATGCTAATCGTCTCTGCATTATATTAATTTTCTTACCTGGGCTGCTGAAGCCAGCATTGTTTGGATTCTTTAAAATAAGCTTTTTATTGCAAAGGTTTTAACTTTGTAAAAAATTGTGAGGATCGTACAGAGATTTTCTTTATTATTTAAAAGTTTGTCATAATTAATGAATAAATATTAATAAATTATTATTAAACAAAGTCTATATTTTATTCAGCATTTTCTTAATTTTTACCTGATCTCCTTTTTATATTTCAGGATTCCATTTAGGGTACAACATTGCATTTTTTCCTCATATGTATATATATAGGCTCTTTAAGCTATGATTAGTTTTCTGACTTTGTTATTGAATATTTTGACATTATGTTGGAAAAGAATGTCCTTCAACTGGAATTTATTTATTTGATATTCTTTTCATAACTAGATTGTGTTTAGAGATTATTTGTAACAAAAATTGTCCACCTGCCTTTACAGTCCTGACCAGGTATTTTGTTTTTCTGGGTCTGCTTTCACATCATTTGAAATAGAAAGAGATATTTCATAAGTGCCGTTAAAAATTACTGAGTGATTTTGTGGTTCATGGGACATAAAGTATGAGAAATATGCATAGCAACCCAAAATAGATATTTTCTTTTGCTTAATTACCCCTTCCCTGGTCCCACACAAAGATACAAAACATTCTCTTCTTAATTTATGCAGTTTTTTGATGGGAAAATTTTTCAGGGTAACTGGGCATTTAAAACAATTATCATATGTATTCAAGGAGTACACTTTGATGTTCTGATATGCGAAAGAAAGAAAGAGAGAAAGAAGGAAGGAAGGAAGGAGAGAGAGAAAGGAAAAATGGTTGCTATAGTCAGAAAAATGTGCATATCTACTATCCAGGGAAAAATATGGTGATTACTTGGAAAAATTGGTCAGAAGAGGGAAATAACGCGGAAGATTTAAGTCAAAGAATAGAAATCAGAGATGTATAGCATGAACAAGTCTAGAGACCTAATGTGTACCATGCTATAATTAACAGCATTGTGTCGCAGTTAGGATTTTTGTTAAAAGGGTATATTTTAAATGTTCTTACTACACACACACAAAAGCATAATTAATGTGGCATGATAGATATATTAATTTGCTTGATTTATTTTTGTTTTGAGTTATTTCCTCTCTCTGATTTGTGTATCTTTTTTTCTTCACCAAAATTATTTCGGCCTTTTTCTAAAGGCCTCAATTTACTAGGATAGTCATTATGTGTGAATTTTCTTAAGTCTCTGTCCTATATTCCTTTGATTCTAATTTCATAATTTATTGTTAATAAATTCATCCATACCAATAGAGATTTTGATTACCACCCATTGAAAGCATTCTCACACTAGTGACTTTAAACATATACCTAACCTGCTTTTGGCATCTCCCATTAGATGTCTGAATAGCTCTTTAAATTCAAAACATGAAAATGTAATTCATATTCTTCAGTTCCAATCAAATTCCTAGGTAATCTGCCCTGTTCTTAATCTCTGCTGATGAAGAGAAAAGTCCACTGTGTGTACATAATGGCTTCCCAGCATCTTCAACTGTAGACTCGAATTGGCTTTTTCTTCAAATATCATCTGAATAGTCTGCCATAGATGTCTTTGAAAGTTTCTATGAAAATAATTCAAAAACAAATCAGATCTCCCATTTGATCTGGAAATCCCATTACTAGGCATCTACCCAAAAGAAGAAAAAATCATTTTATCATAAGGACATTTGTACCAGACTGTTTATTTGAGACCAATTTACATTCACCAAAATGTGGAAACCTAACTGTGAATCCTAACTGGCCATGAACCCAGGAATGGATTAACAGAGTGTGGCATATGTATCTCATGGAATACTATATGGTCATTAAAAAAGATGGAGGCTTTACATCTTTTGTATCAACCGGAATAGAGTTGGAACACATTCTTCTTAGTTAAGTAGCACAAGAATAGAGAAACAATAATCAAATGTACTCAATTCAAATATGAAGCCAGTAGATGATCTAATACATGTTCACATAAGAGAAAAACTCAAATCAATTCAAGCTGGGGGCAGGGGAATGAGGAGGGGGAGACGTGAGGAGGGAGGGGATGGATATGCTCCTACTTAGTGGGCACAGTGTTAGTGGGTATGGCACACCTCTTGGGTGCAGGACACAATTATAAGAGGGACTTTACCTAACAAATGCAAACATTGTGACCTAATTCTTTATACCCTCAATTAACCTGAAACACTAAAGAAAAGAAAATAATTCAAAAAGCTACTATAAGAATAATTCTACTTTTATATAATAAAGGTAGATTTTCTGCAGTAGAAAAAAATCTGTGCTCTTCATTAAATTGTTTTTTAGCATTGGTATTTTAAAAGATTTTTCCTAATCCTGAGTTTCTCCAGTGCTAACAATCACTGTTATGTTTAGAGTGACAAATATGATCCTTACACACAAAAATGTAGAATTATAATGCTTTTATCTCTAACATTTATGAGAAATTTATGAGGTAGAAGTCATTGTGGTTATATCTGAAATAAGTAAAATGTGTATTAGAAAATCTAGACATTGAATCCAGATCACTCATTGGTGGTAGATAAGATTTGAACTGAAATCCCAAAGCTTTTTTAATCAAATGAGACTATAAAGCTGATTAGCTCATCAAGAAAAAAATAACAAATGTCTCACTTCAAAGGGCTTCTCACATTTAGTTTTCTTTTCCTATTTATTTTATTTATTTATTTATTTATTTATTTTGAGATAGCATTTCACTTTTCACCCTCAGTAGAGTACTGTAGCATCACAGCTCACAGTCACCTCAAACTCTTGTGTTTAAGTGATTCTTTTATCTCAGCCTACAAGTAGCTGGGACTACAGGCACCTGCCACAATGCCCAGCTATTTTTTTGTTGTTGTCATTGTTGTTTAGCAGGCCCTGGCTGGGTTCGAATCCACCAGCCCCCATGCATGTGGCTGGCACCCTAACCACTAAGCTACAGGTGCCAAACCTCACATTTAACATTGAATATAAAGATTAAATTATTTAACATTTAATTCATGTCAAAGATCAAATTCAATCCTCAACATTCTTTGTCTCCAAAAAAAAAAAAAAAAAAAAAAAACAAATAGACATCTTGGTGACATGCACCTATAATCCCAGCTACTTGGGAAGCTGAGGTGGGAAGATTGCTTGACCCCAGGTGTTTGAGGTTGTAGTGAGCTGTGATGATGCCACTACACTCAAACCTAGGAAAAGTGTGGGACACTGTCTCAATAACAATAACAAATAAAATAAAATGTCCAGTGCATGAGCAGAAAACGCAGTTTTGTTCTGTTTTATTTTTTCGAGAACTGAGTATTTCTGGGGCTTTTATATTTAATTTTTGTAGATGATAAACCATTAACTTGGTAGTTAGTAGCCCTGGACTCTTGGCTCTTTTCTAAAGTTGTGGGTAATTGGCCAAACAGGCTATTCCATGAAGTCAGTTTGCAGTACCATTAACGTCATGCTGTTTACCAGGGTACTGGGGGCTTTGGAAGGAAACCATAAAAGAATAATTCAATAAATTGAATGTTTCCTCATTTAATCTTTTAACTCAGAATTTTGTTGATAAGTTAGTTCAAATCTATCAAAATAATCAAGGACATGTCCATCTTTTTTCTGTACACAATGCTACATGGATTCTAGTTTACTTGGTAGAGAAAAATGATGAGGATAGCTTATAGTAATTTGGCAACTTATTTCTGTGCCTTACAAAAAAAGAAAAAAGACACAACAGTTCCCATGACTTCTTCAGTCAACCCTAACAACACCATTTTGACAGTGCCTGTGGCTCAGTGAGTACCACCAGCCCCATGTACCACGGGTGGTGGGTTTGAACCCAGCCATGGCCAAACTGCAGTAATTAAAAAAAAAAAAAGACACAACAGTTCTGTGCCTTACCAAATCCTTAGGTAGCAGTCAATTTAGTCCTCAATGGGGCTTTCATATTCAGCAGGTAGCATCCGTTACTGAGCCAAAACATTTCCCACAAACATGTGGATGAACTGATAAAAGTCAAAGAATCCAGTTTGACAAGCACCGATATTTAGGCTAAAATGTCATTCAAATTCAAGGGAGTTAGGATTAAGGAAATATTTTACTAGGAACAAAATGAAGTTCTGATTTAGCCCAAAGAATGTATATAATTTGTCAGTTTCTATTTTTCATTGTTTGGATGGTTAAGAGGGGCTAATAAAGTCCATTTGACAAGTCAATTATATTGGAAGGAGTGGAAATGGCAGGGGAAAAGAAAAAGGAAGTTTTGGAAAGAATGAAAGAAGAAAAAGGGTGTGAAAAATAAAGTGAAAAAGTTTGGAAGACAAGCAGGATGGCAGGCAGTGGGGGTCTGCTGGAAAAAGGGTTTTTTAGAAGCACCTTACAGCTTTGATTTCAGTCTGGGGAGGGTAAAGGGTCAGGACAAGGAAAATCATGGGGACTAATCTCTTTCTAATTTATTAAGTTGTTCAATTAAGTTGGAATTGTTTTCTCTAAGAAAGGCAATAGTAGCCTCTGATTTTATTTGTAACTTTCAAAATGCCAATTAAAGAAGGCCTCCCATTCCCTGTGGGAGACTGGGTATTTTTTTATTCTAATTGTACACACAGACAAGCTTTAGAATTTCAAAGAAGCCCCATTTTGGCCAATAAACTTTAAGATGATCTTAGATGATTTTTGTCCAGAAGTATTTCAACTTGCAAATTACAACTTTCTGGACCACAAATTTTGCTCATAATGCCAGCAAGAGTTCCAGAAGGTGGTTGATAAGAAAGTTTTAGAACTTGGTTATCCATTGAACTTACCTAACAAAGCTACCACTTCTTATGAGATTTAATTATGTGCATTCTCATGACATTTTATGGACTAGGTTCATGAAGTAAATGAAGAAGTTCTCTCCCTGAAGTAACGTCCCTGAGACCTCAACAAGAAACCTTGGGAGGTCTAGATTCAGGAGGACTTTCCTGAGGCCTTCTAGTGCAACTGAGAAGACAACTGAGCTCTAGGGGCTCT